TGTCCAATCAAGTACCTAATACCATTATTCAGTGTGGAGCGATATGCTAGGGAGTAGAGATTAGTAACAAGGAATATGTTATGTCTGGTGGAGACTAATGGAACGATAAATGTGGGCGTTTGCTAATAGACTATAATTATATATATATTTATATACTTATCACTGGCTTTCGATTGACCCATAAACTATTCTCAATCCCTTTCCGATTTGTTATTAATAGTCCACTTCTATAAAACTAGTACTCCAAGGTCACGTACAGTTGCTATTTTTCATTTCATAGTATGTTATGATCGAGTATGTCTATGTAAATCTAGGTAGGCTTGAAGTATAATATTCTTACAATGAAGGGTAATTACTGTGTTTTGAACGCAAAGGACAGAGCTAGGCGAAAAGCTGCAGTATCGAGGAACAATAAGAGCTTAGTTTTGACCCAAGGATATTGGTGATAAAATCGGCACTGATTCGTGCTTTTTTACGTGATAGACGGAGATATAAATCGTAACATAATCCACTTCCCGGAATAACGTTTTACTCTAGCTCTAAGTATATATATACCACACCTCTACTTACACGGTATGGTCTACTATGATATTGGTACTGCTCTAATAATAGACGTAATCCTAAAATCGTAGATTTGTCATGATATAACTGCCTAATCTATAAGATCTTACGTGGAAGTCACATCATCGTCTACACCAACTCACTGTATCGTAACACCTACCAATACATGATGAAAAACAAGCTTATGCTAGAGAAAGAACAATATATTTAATATGAATAGAAGATATAAGGTAATATTCAGCAGAGACCACGCCTGCATGGTTGAGCCATGCCATTCGATCAACTTCAGTTCCTCCAATTCATTGTTCGCGCCTTCTCCATTGTTAGGTATTTCTCCGCGTTAAATATTGAGTATCTATTTTCCGAGTAATCTCGTATTCAGCCTTGAGAATTGTGTGGTTATGATCCAATGCCACTACATGTCCACTAGTCTAGGTGACTCGACACTGCGTTCACTATTCTGAGACTAGTTGGTGGTTGGATGCAGTCGATAAAAGACTTTACAGGAGGTTGCTCGCTGCCCGGAAAGCTCAGTGATAACTTCTCCGACTGTGAAGCTGGGTGACACGGGATCGAATCCTTCAGGGAGCACCAGTCCCCTCAAGATTACAGGTACACTTTGCTGACGAGTCCCAAGTGGCACGAAACCCGAATCCATGGTTTCTTGTCGACTACCTACAACCATCATCTAATCTTACAGATATTCAGTATCTTTCATAGACAATGATCAATTAATACTTGTACTGCCTGATGATGGTCGTATTAATGTGGTGTGTGCTACTGATGACGACAGATAAAAGTAGTATGTATCATCAGTGGAAAGTGAAATACCTGGCGGCATATGCAGAAGTTCTTAAAAGTGTTCTTTCCACCGGTTCCTCTGTTCGTGAATCTCAGTGATCGGCTCGCCTTCTTAGTCCTTGACCGGTCTCTCTGGTTTAGTATGTTTCCCCGCAAGTTTCCTCGTTGTGTCATATAGCTGTCTCAAATTTCCTTCTCTTGCAGCTTTTACCACTGTTATCTGTAGTTCCCACGTGTTTCTGCTTGTCGGCTCTAATGCTCCGCTTCACTCGCTTGTTTCTTCTGTGTATTTTGTTTGTGCCTTACTTTCTGTGCTCTTTTTCGTCTGTTGTTAATTTCTGTCATGTGGTTCTTCCTTTCTTGAATCTTGTCCGGGATTTCGATAGAGATCCATTCCTTATGATGATGCTTAATGCGGTCCAAATCCAACTGACACGTTGAAGGTAGTACACCTTTGATCTCTTTACAATTGTACGTCTTAGTAGTTTCTTCTTCTTTAGGTAGATCTTGTCCGTCGTAAAACCTGTTATTTGTAGGTATCTTGAGTTTGTCATTATGTGGAAGTCTGTATTAAACCTTCGTATTGCTGATTTTCCAGTTTTCCAATGCTTCTTTAGCTTCAGTTTCGTCCTGGTGATCTGATGGTAGATCAACTATTCCTTTTCTTCCGATGTCTTTCATGAAACTTATGAACTGTACTGATTTAAATGTGGTTGATCTGGTTGTTTATAATGGGATCCAGTGAATCTTATGAAGATTTGATCATGCGTTTATGGTGCAATAAAGTGCCACCCATTACTTTTTGAATGTACAAAAATTTGCAAATCTGTCTCCATTCTCGTTCTTTTCTCCTAGGCAGATCATGTCGTCCCATGATATCTTCATATCCAGTGCTGTTGTTTGACATTTATGTCCCATCAGGATGGTCATGACCTTTCCTAAATGCTTTGCGATGATCAATTGCAGCCCTTCATAGAAATGACCTTTATCGTCGTCATTACTATCATTGGTGGATGCATAACACTGGATAACATTCGCTGTGATTACCTCCTTCTTGGATCCATACGATCCCAATCCCTTAAGTGCTTTCTGTGCTTCTTTGGAAACGATCGTTGTAACTTCTTGTGTGTGCGAAGCATCTTCATGAACAGAGTACAGAAGAACCTCTCTAGAATCTAATCTTTTCAGTCTAGCATGAATTCAATGGGTTTCACTGATTCTGAGTACCTGCAAGTTATATCTCTTCATTTCCGCATCTATTTGGTCCTCCCAGTATCCCACATTTTCCGAACTTTCTATGTACCTATATTAATTGTTGTTGTGGTTATTATAAGGGTCATAACCTTCTTGACTCTCAAAGAATTTCGGCTTTCACCATGAGGTTTCATAATTCTTCTGATTGAAGACCCTTGAAGTACCAGGACAGTTTAAATTATTCGTTCTGTTAAGTGTATTTCAAGCAATGTTGTTTTCTACGGGATGTGGTTACTGACCTCATAATCAGTCCTCCTTCTTTACCCGGGTTTAGACAGGCTTAAATAATTCGATGGTTGTCTTTTATTAAATGTGTCCACAATATTATGATCGCATATTTTTTACTCAAAAGGTAATCTTCACGCTATGACCGCCTTGTAAAACCCAACCACAATTACTCAACAAAAAGAAAAATGCCCTTTTTTGTCGATTCGACTCATGAATGTATAATTTTCATACATCCAGTTTGCATCAAGAAAAGTTGGAAAAGTAATCTAGGACATTGATCATAAAGCGGTCACAGTAACCGATGCTTAACCAAAAGATGATTTCGAAAGGAAATTCCGAACTCTATGGAATGGTAATAAGTGCTTCTGGATAAAATCTTTCTTTTACTATAAATATTTTGGCAGCGTTTTAATGTCCACACACCGCTCGTTGAAATTTCAATAATATATATAAATGAAGAGGCTAGAAATAAACCTGGGCATTATTTTATGAACTGTATAGAGTATTATTAGTAAAAACGAAATCAGTTGAGGGACTCCTAACCGTGGCACATAATAATAAGCCCCCATATTATTAAATCATCTTTGAAAAATATAAGCGTAAAGGAAGCTAATTTTAAGACCTCCATTGATGGCAGAGTTGTGAGGCTCTTTATTTAGACGTCAATTAGATCAGAGGATGTTGTCGATGGACTCACCATTTTATTGACCAGAGATCTGACTCCAGTTAAATCGTATGAATGTTATTAAAATATACATGTCTTCTATACTTGTTTATAAATCATCGACTTTTATCGCGTTAGTGTAAAACGGAATTAAATAAGTCAAATGCGAGAATGGATTCCGACTATGTATATTTCATACATTCGTTGATTGGAAAGCGAAGCAAATTAAAATGGTGAGCATTGGAGAAAGAGCGAGCCAATTCAATTCAATCAAGCGTTAATTGACATTTATAGTCATACAGAAATAAATTACAGTCATGTGATAAGAGGTGCACACACATACGTTCATATAAAGTCAGGGTTGGTAAGTGAACAATTAACAAGGTCAAGACGTGAATAAAGAAGAATGGATAAACTGACCTGTTCAGAAGCTAGAATAAGTTATAGAGGCTTAACATAGTAACCTGCACTACAAGTTCATAAAGTGTATTCAAAAGACAGGAAATACTATCGCCTAAGTCAAGTAAAAATCTCGGAGATATATCATGGATTAGTTTGCCAGACATTGTGCCATTTTTTATCGTGACAAAAAGTAACTTATTTTTGTCTGGTTTATAACTGTGTCATTCAAATATGGTTGGTTACTTGACAGCCCTCTTGTGTACATGTATTTCTTGTCATCTATTTCCATGTGTCGTAATCGTATATATATAGCCCCCAAATGCTCTGGTACGGCCGAGAGATCAGAGTCCGCTCTCCCTCTCAAAATGCTCTCACATCGCCACGCGTATATAGCCTCTGTCAGGGAAGTCCTACTCACTGCCTTCTCGTGGCAGGGGTGTTGTTTACGAAATCCGGCGTTTTAACCGGATCCAAAACCAATGGTGCACATGGGCGCCAGTATCCTGAAGGAACAAATGGCGTATGAACCAATCGTTGGTCACCGGCTTTCATGGGACTGCATCTCCTCACGATGCTCCACTGCCTTATGGATCAGACCTCCAGGTCGAAGGCTCGGGGTGTTGCCCCCTAAGAAAACCACCTGCTTCGGTTTGGGCACCCGGGCAGTATCACAGCCCTCACACATGTCGAATGAGATTTGTGTGGCGCATATGTATTTGGTGCCTCCTTGTACCAATATCTATGTGTTAAAATAAATTATATTATATAATATATATATATATATATATATATATATATATATATATATATATATATATATATATATATATATATATACAGTGAGTTGTCTTCAGCGTACAAAACTTTTGACTTGCAAAAATCAACTCATTTTACACACTGACCTTAGACGAAAACCCGATTTCCATATTGACTTACTGTTTATTTGTGACGCATGTATGTAGAATTATGGTCTACTATGATATTAGTACTGCTGTAATAATAGACCTAACCGTGGAAGTCACACCATCGACTACACCAACTCACTGTATCGTACCAATTACCAATATATGATGTAGAACAAGGTTAGGCTAGAGAAGGAACAATATATTTAATATGAATAGAAGATATAAGGTAACATTCAGCAGAGACCACGCCTGCATGGCCGAGCCATGCCACTCGATCAACTCCAGTCAATTCAATTCAATCTTCGCGCCTTCTCCATCGTTAGGTATTTATCCGCGTTAAATATTGAATATCTATTTTCTGGGTAGTCTCGTGTTCAGCTTTGTGGATTGTGCGGTTATTGTTTAATGCCACTACACTACTCTCCCACCAGAATCAACGTGATGTTGGTTCGATACCAAATTGGATGGGATCGTCGTGCGCTGAAGGTTACCAAGACTAGGAAGAATCCCCCGGGTAATGATAAGCTGAAAGATAAATCAAAAAGAAAGCGGCAGCATCTGGTCGGGAAATACATGTAATAATTTTTAAAAAAAATCTGCCTTCATGCTTGACACGCTTAAAATGACAATTTGGGTGAAGATTATTTGAGCTATAAAAAAATGGAATTACAGTAATAATAATAATAAAACAATGCGTGTTAATAGCCGTTTGTTAATAACTTGACGTGTAGGTAGTAAGTATTTTGTGTTTAGAAATATTAAAGTAATAAATATTGTAGAAATGTTAATATTGTTATTAGTTTTGGTTTAAATTATGAAATCAGATAACGATTATGCCGGTAAGTTGTCCATATGAGTTGAATTCCAATTGCATCTGTATTAGTAGGCTAACTGGAAGAACAAAAGTATTACCATGGAAAAGAATTCCAACTAGTGTTCCAGTTAGTTTGATACGGTTTATTTAGTTACGGGGAGATTTTCTCAACCTCATTTTTACTTGACCGTGATAGAATTTAGTAATACTACTAATACACATGAATGGTTATCAAAATAAAATTTAAATACGTGAGTGATGATTATATGAATTTTGGACAGATAGCTAGGAAAAATCGTTAAACATGAGTGTATTCGTAAGAGACATGCTCTAGACTCAATGTTCTGATCTGTGGCAGACTATTTATTTGTATTTATACTTGCCGGCTGATTGGCATACAAGTTAGTTGCAAGTATGCAGTTTATTATAAGGCGGAACACGATTTAACTGAGATGTAGTGGTTATAAGTTATTGAAATCAGTTAAGCCTATGTGTCATATTACTAAGTGATGTGGTGTTGCAAGATGTATTTAGCTAAATAAGTTTTTACAAGATGAGTAATAGTGATTGATGCTCATGTGATTATCAGGGAGTACATAAGTTGTAACCAAGGGGAGTACACTTCCAACTCATGTCTATGATAATGGCTTGAACCTTAGTCAGTGTTGGGGTAAATTCGACATTGATGTTTTCAGTTTGCAGGAGATTTGCTCGACTGCTTATACTGATTATTTGCATGCATGATTGTGTCGCTAAACCATCAATAAAACTGACAAGGTTTTGAGATATTTACTTAATGAGCAACCGATAGAGAAACATACTGTAATCATCTGTAGTGAATGAAGATAAAAGAAAAACAACACTAGTGATAATTGTAAGTCAATTTGCTGACCGATTTTGTTAATAGTTTCATTAATTTTATCAATCATATTACGTGATTGTCAAGTTATGGCAATGCTTTATGACGATATCCTGAAACTATTATGTTTAACTAGTTATAGTGTTGAATGAGGATTAGTCAGTGGAAAAATAGGTATTGTTGCTTTAGGTGATTCGAAATTATCAGAAATTTGTAACGTAAAAGAATCCGAGACGCCTAATTTAATTATAAATTTTAATTCAGAAAGATTCGTTTAGTGTTAATTCTAGTAGGCTAAGGAGTTTTGATTTTAAACGTTTGTTTAACCAACAGCTACCTGGGGATTTAGTTATTTTACTAGTGCAGTTAATAGTACCTAAATTTTTAATCTTATTATCTAAACTATGTTCGCATTTTAGGCTGCTAATATGATAAACCAATCCATAAACCCAAATACGATTAGCAACAACGACTATGATGGGTTTATTAATAAATGTTAAGGGCGATCCAGATGATTTCTAAATTTAGAAGACATGAAGATATAGTGTAACGTATGTACAGGCCAGGTTAACATGCAGGTTGTTGACGTATATAAAAATTTAAAAATAATGAACATGACCAGAAAAATAATTTTAAAGTTAAGACTGCTTATGAAACTTCAGGCAGGAATATGGCGCGTTATAAACATTACATAAGAAGTTACTGCATTTAGCCTAGGGACACTTACAAATATGTGGCAAAAGCAACTGGAAAATATATACATGTTAAGTAAAAAAAAATCATCCAGTAAAATAGTTGAACTCGCCTGGATTATTTTGAAAATTAGATTATTCAGTGGACGACATATATAACGCCATTCGTGAGTAGTAATGATCCAAAAGCATCTAGAATAAAACATACAGTATGCCAATCACTTCCAGGGTGCTTGATGCTGTTGAGGTCTTTGGGACTCGCTCTGATCAGAACTGAATGAATCCAGATAATTGTGTGTGCCATCTAAAATGAACTTATGATTGCAGAAAACTTATAGCTGGAACTCACCGTATTTTTTATTTTGGAGAAGTGTCATCCTTGTTGTTTGGCTATGGAACTCGAATATATGAAATTAGGCAGGCAGTGGTCGGGAGAAAAGATATTACAGGACAGTGCTTAGTTTGAAACAGGTTGAGGTATTAAGTGAAGGAACACTGAGAATTAGATCCAGATAGCTATTTAGTCCTTGATTGCATTGCTAGTCAATGTATATTTACTCTATTTACAGGTTATATTTGCAAGAGCTTGATGTTTAAACAAGTCTATGTCGCTGAAGCATGTATATGCTATTAAAGCTTGTTAACGAACCATCAAAGCTAATTAGTTGATATAGATGATCAACTTTCATTATCGATTGAGCTAGTAAGTTATGTGAACTAATAGATATAACATTACGATAATATATATGACCATTAATCAAAGGACTATTAGAATACTGGGTTTACAGAAATAAAAACCGATTGAGGTTAGGGTGGAAATAAGGATTAACAATAATAGGTTGCGTTTCTTTATTTGGGCTCACCAATGTGGAATTATGGTCTACTATGATATTAGTACTGCTGTAATAATAGACCTAACCGTGGAAGTCACACCATCGACTACACCAACTCACTGTATCGTACCAATTACCAATATATGATGTAGAACAAGGTTAGGCTAGAGAAGGAACAATATATTTAATATGAATAGAAGATATAAGGTAACATTCAGCAGAGACCACGCCTGCATGGCCGAGCCATGCCACTCGATCAACTCCAGTCAATTCAATTCAATCTTCGCGCCTTCTCCATCGTTAGGTATTTATCCGCGTTAAATATTGAATATCTATTTTCTGGGTAGTCTCGTGTTCAGCTTTGTGGATTGTGCGGTTATTGTTTAATGCCACTACACTACTCTCCCACCAGAATCAACGTGATGTTGGTTCGATACCAAATTGGATGGGATCGTCGTGCGCTGAAGGTTACCAAGACTAGGAAGAATCCCCCGGGTAATGATAAGCTGAAAGATAAATCAAAAAGAAAGCGGCAGCATCTGGTCGGGAAATACATGTAATAATTTTTAAAAAAAATCTGCCTTCATGCTTGACACGCTTAAAATGACAATTTGGGTGAAGATTATTTGAGCTATAAAAAAATGGAATTACAGTAATAATAATAATAAAACAATGCGTGTTAATAGCCGTTTGTTAATAACTTGACGTGTAGGTAGTAAGTATTTTGTGTTTAGAAATATTAAAGTAATAAATATTGTAGAAATGTTAATATTGTTATTAGTTTTGGTTTAAATTATGAAATCAGATAACGATTATGCCGGTAAGTTGTCCATATGAGTTGAATTCCAATTGCATCTGTATTAGTAGGCTAACTGGAAGAACAAAAGTATTACCATGGAAAAGAATTCCAACTAGTGTTCCAGTTAGTTTGATACGGTTTATTTAGTTACGGGGAGATTTTCTCAACCTCATTTTTACTTGACCGTGATAGAATTTAGTAATACTACTAATACACATGAATGGTTATCAAAATAAAATTTAAATACGTGAGTGATGATTATATGAATTTTGGACAGATAGCTAGGAAAAATCGTTAAACATGAGTGTATTCGTAAGAGACATGCTCTAGACTCAATGTTCTGATCTGTGGCAGACTATTTATTTGTATTTATACTTGCCGGCTGATTGGCATACAAGTTAGTTGCAAGTATGCAGTTTATTATAAGGCGGAACACGATTTAACTGAGATGTAGTGGTTATAAGTTATTGAAATCAGTTAAGCCTATGTGTCATATTACTAAGTGATGTGGTGTTGCAAGATGTATTTAGCTAAATAAGTTTTTACAAGATGAGTAATAGTGATTGATGCTCATGTGATTATCAGGGAGTACATAAGTTGTAACCAAGGGGAGTACACTTCCAACTCATGTCTATGATAATGGCTTGAACCTTAGTCAGTGTTGGGGTAAATTCGACATTGATGTTTTCAGTTTGCAGGAGATTTGCTCGACTGCTTATACTGATTATTTGCATGCATGATTGTGTCGCTAAACCATCAATAAAACTGACAAGGTTTTGAGATATTTACTTAATGAGCAACCGATAGAGAAACATACTGTAATCATCTGTAGTGAATGAAGATAAAAGAAAAACAACACTAGTGATAATTGTAAGTCAATTTGCTGACCGATTTTGTTAATAGTTTCATTAATTTTATCAATCATATTACGTGATTGTCAAGTTATGGCAATGCTTTATGACGATATCCTGAAACTATTATGTTTAACTAGTTATAGTGTTGAATGAGGATTAGTCAGTGGAAAAATAGGTATTGTTGCTTTAGGTGATTCGAAATTATCAGAAATTTGTAACGTAAAAGAATCCGAGACGCCTAATTTAATTATAAATTTTAATTCAGAAAGATTCGTTTAGTGTTAATTCTAGTAGGCTAAGGAGTTTTGATTTTAAACGTTTGTTTAACCAACAGCTACCTGGGGATTTAGTTATTTTACTAGTGCAGTTAATAGTATCTAAATTTTTAATCTTATTATCTAAACTATGTTCGCATTTTAGGCTGCTAATATGATAAACCAATCCATAAACCCAAATACGATTAGCAACAACGACTATGATGGGTTTATTAATAAATGTTAAGGGCGATCCAGATGATTTCTAAATTTAGAAGACATGAAGATATAGTGTAACGTATGTACAGGCCAGGTTAACATGCAGGTTGTTGACGTATATAAAAATTTAAAAATAATGAACATGACCAGAAAAATAATTTTAAAGTCAAGACTGCTTATGAAACTTCAGGCAGGAATATGGCGCGTTATAAACATTACATAAGAAGTTACTGCATTTAGCCTAGGGACACTTACAAATATGTGGCAAAAGCAACTGGAAAATATATACATGTTAAGTAAAAAAAAAATCATCCAGTAAAATAGTTGAACTCGCCTGGATTATTTTTGAAAATTAGATTATTCAGTGGACGACATATATAACGCCATTCGTGAGGAGTAGTAATGATCCAAAAGCATCTAGAATAAAACATACAGTATGCCAATCACTTCCAGGGTGCTTGATGCTGTTGAGGTCTTTGGGACTCGCTCTGATCAGAACTGAATGAATCCAGATAATTGTGTGTGCCATCTAAAATGAACTTATGATTGCAGAAAACTTATAGCTGGAACTCACCGTATTTTTTATTTTGGAGAAGTGTCATCCTTGTTGTTTGGCTATGGAACTCGAATATATGAAATTAGGCAGGCAGTGGTCGGGAGAAAAGATATTACAGGACAGTGCTTAGTTTGAAACAGGTTGAGGTATTAAGTGAAGGAACACTGAGAATTAGATCCAGATAGCTATTTAGTCCTTGATTGCATTGCTAGTCAATGTATATTTACTCTATTTACAGGTTATATTTGCAAGAGCTTGATGTTTAAACAAGTCTATGTCGCTGAAGCATGTATATGCTATTAAAGCTTGTTAACGAACCATCAAAGCTAATTAGTTGATATAGATGATCAACTTTCATTATCGATTGAGCTAGTAAGTTATGTGAACTAATAGATATAACATTACGATAATATATATGACCATTAATCAAAGGACTATTAGAATACTGGGTTTACAGAAATAAAAACCGATTGAGGTTAGGGTGGAAATAAGGATTAACAATAATAGGTTGCGTTTCTTTATTTGGGCTCACCAATGTGGAATTATGGTCTACTATGATATTAGTACTGCTGTAATAATAGACCTAACCGTGGAAGTCACACCATCGACTACACCAACTCACTGTATCGTACCAATTACCAATATATGATGTAGAACAAGGTTAGGCTAGAGAAGGAACAATATATTTAATATGAATAGAAGATATAAGGTAACATTCAGCAGAGACCACGCCTGCATGGCCGAGCCATGCCACTCGATCAACTCCAGTCAATTCAATTCAATCTTCGCGCCTTCTCCATCGTTAGGTATTTATCCGCGTTAAATATTGAATATCTATTTTCTGGGTAGTCTCGTGTTCAGCTTTGTGGATTGTGCGGTTATTGTTTAATGCCACTACATGTATGCTTGAAATATGCGTAATCAAAAGCATCTTCACGTCCGACCATTTGATTCTACGTTGTGTTCATGCGATTAGTCAGAAGAATATTTACGACTTTAAATAAGATCTATAATTTATTTCAAATATCCCATTACTAGAGTCAACAGTGATAAAGCCTGACTGTCTTTGGCTACAATATTTCCCCCACCAACTAATCGTGCCAAGTTCGATACTCTATAGTGTCAGTAGCATCCAAGGAGTTTACATGGAAAACAATGAAAATTTTATTTGTGTTTGTATTCTCATCTCAGAAGAATTTTCAATACTTGTGTATCAATGTCAGCTTCTGTTGAATACAAACTTTCGACCTACCAGTCGGAAATATCAACTTAGTAGTGGAAATCAATATTTTTATCTGTACAGGATGAGGTCGGTTATCCAAGATGTGGGAGTCTGGGAAATCGTAGCCAGAAGGAAAATCTTTCGTAGGCATTTATTTATCTGGGTAATCTTAAGCGCCTGAAAGTTTATAATGATTAGACGAGTGTGATTCCCAAGCATAAAACTTGACAGCAATTTAGAAAAATACTGAGTACCGAATAAATGCTGTCTTTGTGCTGACACGACTGCATTATGAGCGTTTCTTATGATGTCTTACCATTGTCAAAAAGAACTTCAACAAATTTTACAAGACAACAGCAATTTATGTCAGCACCACGAATAACATTACCAGAAGATAGAGTTTTAGGATCCTGATGTGGATTGATTGTAATGCTTAAACTTGCTTGTCATTGAATTTTGTAATACTAGGTAGATCGAACTAGGTTGATGAAATGAATGAACACACATTGTATATGAGAAGGAAAAACACAACATCAGAAAACTAACTATACAGTACGCAGCCTCACTGACTGTTGATAACAGCTGATATTTATAAAACACTTGACAGTTATCATAACTAGGCAAACTGATGTTTGAATTGGGTCCTACAAGTTATCAGTCAGAACGCCAACATATTGAGACCTAGTCAAATTGATTGGTGGATTATAAACAGGTCTAGAAAACTATATATGGTTTCACATACAGTCATTACTGAAGAACAACCAGGACGCCACGATTTCTGTTCTTCTTTGTAATACTAATGAAGGTGTTACAAAAATTACATAAGTACAGGACGTGACACCTGACAGGAAGTGACCTAATCAGGCTAATGAGCTATGGTATAGAAATTGCTCAAGTTCAGAATTTGATTCCCATTGCTTCGCGACTTGAGCACCAATAATGATGAATAGTTTATTTTGCTATGATATCAATCTGCTTAAACCATAGGATCTTTCGAAGTTAATTTTAAGCTAGTTAGAAATACACTTAACAAGTTGCATTTAAGTTCAGTAATAACTGTTTTCTGTTACAGATAAAGTGCTACGGTGTGACATTTCTATGCCTTGATAAAATACGAGAGTTGAACACTTATTTGTTGTCGACCACTACTGTTCAGAAAAATATGTATTTATTATTGTACCAAAGGGGGGAATCGAATATGAATACAGTGATTTTGAGGGCTGTTAAAGGTATGAAGGCGGTTATCACTTTCCGGTTGCCCACACCATGGAGGGGTTCTTCTGGAGGTACCTGAAAAGAAAATTGGGTTAGAGTTGGTTTTAGTGACCTGAGAGCGTGACTGCAGTGCCTAAAGAACAACTGCTTGTGGCAGATCACACACAATTTTTTTGTGTTAACTCCGTGTTTGTTGAAACCTAGCCGCTGGAGACGAAAATCCGTGGGATAAGGCGAGGTGTGCACTTTTAGGGTCGACATTTTCTAACCCCATCCCTTCTTTGTGGGAAGACAGCATCGCTGTTATGCTGTCTGTCTGAGGGAAACACCTTACTGCTCTCACATCCCTATACAATCAGCAGTATGACTTCTCCTTCGGTCCTTGGGTTTGGAGCTTTTAATTTTACCACTCCTCAACCGACCTGCCTGGCATAGTAAGACCTTGAGGAACGATTATTCCAGTCAGTATAACTCGATTGGTTCATTACGATAAGGAAGCCCGATCACGACGTCAAGGTAGCAGCAACAATCGGGATTGTATCAGACTACATGATAATATCAATAACTATTAGAAGAGCACCGGGAAACCTGGTGATTCAAATAATTAAAAACGTCATACCTTTAGAAGAATAAAACAATTCCTCAGTATATTCAATTACTTCGAACACTTACTAAATAGTTAGAGAAGTAAAAATCTTGTTTAAATGAATGAAATCAATTGTTCTACACCAGAAAAGTATATTAAATACATTGCATCTAAATAGACTATTTCAAATCTAACAAATCATTTGACAAAAATAATATTAGAATGATAACTAAAATGCAATTGTGAATAAATGGAATACATTCATATAAAATTAATTTTCTTCTTACAGATATAGAATTTAATTCGAACATTCATTTATTTTGTTTTTGTTTATTTAAAACAAATTATAAACCTTTATTATAATAAACAACTGAAGGTAACCGATCAGATCGAATTTCTTTAATATGTGCTTGAACATCAGGTTCAAGTTTATGGAATGGAATTGAACTGATTTGTGGGAATACAGCACAGCATAAAGGTGTTACAAGTGATAACCTGAAAAGAAAAAAGTGATAGGATATTTTTTTATTGAAGAAGAAGTAGAATAAAGATGCTGTCAATTAAATTGTTTATCGAGTCATAATTAAATTTTTTGTGTACAATGAAAAATACATTTTTTTAAAAATGTCCAATTACATTTGTAGTGTCGGTAACCATGTTAAGCCCTTATGCTAGCTTTCGGACAAATCTTTGGTGAACAGTCATTTTTATTCAATATTCGTTACCAATGTCTGAAGTTGGCTAAGCTGTAGACGATGACTGGGTGCAATATGCTGGTATAGTAAATCGCGAGTGTGAGTGTTTCGAATTATTATCAATGACAGAAGACCAGTTGAAGTGTCTTGTTTTTGTATGCAGCTTGCAGTCACCTGAAGATCCCGACATCAGAACCAAAATTCTGAGTAAAATTGAACAGTGTTCAAATATAACACTGTAAGAAGTGACTATTGAATGTCAGAGGTTGGTAAACTTAAAACATGACACTTCTATGGTTGAAATGACAGGAAAAAATATCTTTAATCGAAAAGCTGGTTACTTTGACGAAATCTAACAGTTTACACAAATTACTGTTACAATACACAATCCTTAATTCGCAAAAGTAAAGTTGTCAAAATTAACTAATTGGAAGATAGAAAGTAAGATCATTTGAAAACGTTAACATCTTTGGAAAAAATGCCGAGTACAATACCTGTGAATCAACTTACATTAAACCGACTAAGCTAATTTGTATTGGAGCTCCCAGCCAAGGATAACGAATAAGCAATTTTTGTTTTTCTAATGACTGCATCACAAAAGGCAAAATTGCTGAGGTAAGTAGATACAAAGAAAAAAATGTCAGTTTCTATTAATTAAGTAATTATCATTGATTAATGTTGGTCGTTTATCTTCAAATATTTATCTAAAAACTCAAACAACGTGTACATAAAACCATCGAATGCCCTGGTACGACCTAGGGTAGGGAGAGTCAGCTCTCCTTCTCCAAATGATCTCACATGGCCACGTGCATACACCCACTCCCACGAAAGTTCTTCTCACTGCCTTCTCGTGGAGGGAGTGTTGTTTACGAAATTGAGAGGACGAAAAGCGAATGTCCGGCGCATTAACCGGGTTGGTGGACATGAAGAGTCCACCTAGGGGAGTTGGGAAACCCTGATTCCAAACCAATGGTGCACATGGGCTCCGCGATCCTGAGAGAACAAATGGCGTATGAACCAATTGTTGGTCACCGGCTACCATGGGACTGCATCTCCTTACGATGCTCAACTGCCTTATGGATCAGACCTTCAGGTCGAAGGCTCCGGGTGTGGACCCCTAAGAAAACCACCTGCTTCGGTTTGAGCACCCCAGCAGTATCCCAGCCCTCACACATATAAAATGGAATCTGTGTGGCGCATATGTATTTGGTGCCTCCTTGTACCAATGTTTAGGTGTTTAAATAAACAAAATATAGGCCAGTCAAAATTCTGAAACTAATAATCGAAGTAAATATTGATGACATAGGATGAGAGAAATAATACTGTAATTAAAAATGAGACCAAATGCTCAACGAGAGACTAAGAAATGTATAGACTGGTATGGATTAAGCAAGAAATGATAAAATGAGATGAGTGCTAATTAAATTATTGATAGACAAAACACATCCTCACAACACAAAACTATCATATTATTAGATGACTTACTCATTCCAGGGGAAGCCATTAATATTCGTGATAAAACCACTTGACTAACAGCTCTACGTCCTACAACAGTTGATTTACCCAATTTCTCACCATTTTCATCCAATATAGGTGTACCTTCAGTTAGTTCTGCACTTCTCATACATGGAATATTAATACAATTAGCTGCAGAGACTGCAATAAATGGTACAAATCGACCAATTATAGGAGGGAATTTCTAAAATTGAAAAAGAAAGCAAATAAAAAGAATTTAGAGAGAAAAAAGTGCTCACGGAATATGTGCATATTTTAATTTATGAAAAGAAGATTCTAGTTTCAGAGATAGTTGGTCATCTGCTAAAACACATCAAACTCCATTAGCCTGTTTATTCACAACAATATGAAACAGTGTTTGTAGTAGAACAGCAGCTCTGTCGAAATTAAATTTTTATCCTTTTTATTTTTCCCAGAAAACAACATCATTCTCTATATGATTCCCACTTACTGAAAATTTGGATATTTAACTTTAGATAATGACTGATATACATATATAACTCAACGATAAACGTTATAAGACTATTTCATTTGTAAAATCAAATATACACTTTTATGACAGAATTTTAGATAAACAGTGATTAACACTGAAAATCTATTTGAAAATCAAAGGAAAAAGAAACAAACAAATATCCAAATTCCATTACAAAATTAGTAATGGGTAGAAGTACAGTATAGGGACGACTCAATCAAAATCGAGAATGTAACTTCCACGTTTAGACGTGAAATTCAAATACAACGTATGCAATGCATTCGAAACCTTAAGCTATCAACTGGTTTCGATTATCAGATTGTTTTAATTGATTGTTAAAAGTTACTTACATTACTGGATGTAGGTACATAGTATGTGTTTACTAAATCGACGGTTGACTTTTCTTCTTATTCTTTTCTTTTCAGATTCATTCACCTAATGCTTCCAACACTGCCCCAACACACACATGGTACCTTTAGGCTAAATGCAAATCTACCAAAGGTTGGACATTACATGCATAAAGAGTAGTAGAAACACTTATGTATGGTGCTCAAAATGTTCAGAATACTTACTTCCTTACGCCTGTTACTCTCAATGGAGCATAGGCTGCCGATCAGCATTCGCCATCCCACTCTGTTATGGGCCTTTCTTTCCAGTTCTGTCCAATTTGTGTTCATCCATCTCATGTCTGTCTCCACTTCTCGACGTGTCCGATGTGTTCGTCGGTCTTCCTCTTCTCCTTTGGCATTGAGGATTCCGTGTGAGGGCTTGCCTCGTGACACAGTTGGATGCTCTCTTCAATGTGTGTCCTATCCATCTCCAGCACTTCTTCCTGATTTCTTCCTCCACTGCGATCTGATTTGTTCTCTCCCACAATGGGTTGTTGCTGATAGTGTCCGGCCAACGGATCTGAAGTATTTTGCGTAGACAACTGTTAATAAACACCTGTATCTTCTGGATGATGGCTTTTGTAGTTCTCCAGGTTTCTGCCTCATATAGTAGAACTGTGTTGACATTTGTATTGAAAATCCTGACCTTGGTATTGGTTGACAGTTGTTTTGAGTTGCAGATGTTCTTCAATTGTAGATATGCTGCTCTTGCTTTGCCGATCCGCGCCTTCACATCTGCATCAGATCCACCGTGCTCATCAATGATGCTGCCTAGATATGTAAAGGTTTTTACATCCTCCAAAGCTTTTCCATTAAGTGTGATTTGATTAGTGCGTGTTGGGTTGTGTCGGAGAATCTTGCTTTTCCGTTTTTGTATGTTGAGATGTACTGCTGCTTAGACTGCTGCTCCACTGGTCGTCTTCTCATGTATTTGTTATTGCGTGTGCGGTAGAAGAGCCAGATCATCTGCGAAGTCTAGATCGTCCAGGTGTATCCTAGCTGTCCACTGTATCCCGCTCTTCCCCTCACATGTTGACGTTTTCATGATCCAGCCGACCACCAAAAGAAAGAGAAAGGGTGAGAGTAAGCAACCTTGTCTGACACCTGTCTTTACTTCGGACGAGTCTGTAAGCTGTCTTGCGTGCACGACTTTGCAGTTTAATCCACCATAGGAATTTCGTATGATATTGACTATCTTTTCAGGTACGCCGTAGTGAAAATGTCCAAAATGAAAGAGAAAATTTTTTTGTCATGCATGGAGAAAACTGATGATCTTAAACTTATTAAATGCTTAATTCTGTTTCTGTGGATTGTATATGATATGGAGAATTGACATTATCTCTAAATTATAAACTTATATTTTAGAGACGAAGCAATCAAGGTAACTTACATGTTCTTTAGAATTGAAATCAAATGACTATCCACACAACTATTCATCAATATAACTACAAAATGTTCTCCCCCCCCCCATTATAAACCCAACTTCTAATCTTGACCATTATCGGTCCTCATTCTTTTATATTACTTAAATACTGATTTCTTATTTAAAAAAATTGACTTTAATGTCTCATGATTTCCATTAAATCATAGAATAAACAAGCATCAAAAGTTATAACTACGAATAGTGTAATTAGATTAATTTAGTAAATATTTATCAATTATAAAATGATTTGTAAATAAAAGGCTAATTCATAAATTGTATTGAATTTTCAGTTCATGTAAGCAATAGATCGTTGAAAGTGGAACATAATCATGTTTTTTTTTCAAAAAAATCATTTCATATGAACAATCAACTAATAATAATAATAATAATAATAATAATAATAATAATAATAATAATAATAATAATAATAATAACGACAAAATTCACTACATTTTTACAAAAACTATTTAATATGCCGTATTAAAATTAATTAATCAATACAGTTATACCCTGTTTACTAAACAGGATTAGAACAGTACATCTATGGGTCATACAACGACATTTATAATAATAATAGTAACAGTAGTAGTTGTAGTAACAATAATAATAATAATAATAATAATAATAATAATAATAATAATAATAAGGGTTTATTGAAATATTTATACACTCATTTTGATTACCTATCAAGACTCATGTATGTGTACTTGTTCTTTTGTTTGTATATAACGAGTGAAGTAGATGTTTCATTATAGAATGAACGGATTATTAACAGACAATGTGACAGTATAAGTGAAGATAAAATTTTAAAAAAAATTATCTATTATGACTGAGAACAAACCAGCTTCCAGCTGAAGAGAAAATTAGGAAAAGACGATGGAAATGGATAGGACATACACTACGCAAATCGTCAAACTGTATCACGAGACAAGCCATAAATTGGAATCCTGAAGGAAGGCAGAAAAGAGGAAGGCCAAAGAACACATTACGTCGGGAAATAAAATTAGATGTGGAAAGGATGAATAACAACTGGAAGGAGCTGGAAATGATTGCCCAGGACAGGGTTGGATGGCGAATGTTCCTTCACGAGAAGTAACAGGCGTAAGTAAGTAAGTAATGACTTAGATAGAGAAATATAGGTATATAATCATACTTTCTAGATCCCGAGCAAAAAGGGCTACCTAAACAAAAGAAGCGTTGAAAATACATCGAATTGATAGCCACTAATGTTACATAAGGAAGTGAAATTATTTCTGTGTGTTTTTGAATTGGATAAACATAATAATCTGATGAAAATTGATAGGAATATAATCCATTTCAAACAATCTCATATGAATAAAGGAAGATCTTTAGAAAACATTGTTTAAGATGAATGATTTATGACAGTGGTACATATTGAATCTAGTTAAAAATAAATACTCATAGAAGTAACATCTGGAATTTAAAGAACCATCGGAAAAGAAATATGTGACTTCATAATGAATTGACGAGTAGATTGTTAATCACATATACTTTGATGATTCACTTCTGTTAGAATATGGTTTATACTTTAAAAAATGACAGTTCTCAATATTGACTTAAAACATAATTACTCACAAGACTATTACAATCCCACTCATATTGATAAAACAGTTAAAATGTTTTAATAGTTGAGATCATGAGTCAAATGAAGCTAGACCACCATGGAAAACCTGGAAGCACTGGGCAGCCGTTTCATCCTATTATGGGACTCCTCAGCAGTACCCATCCACGACCCCGCCTCACGAGATTCAAACCTAGGACCTATCGGTCTCCTGCGCGAGCGCTTAACCACTAGACCACTGAGCCAGTCGGCATCCAATGGTGTTAATGTCTAACTTTAACTAATCCACAAAATTGAGTGACACATCCATCATTGTCTTCAGTGAGTTACTATCTCACAACAGACCCAGTTGAACTCCACTGATCACTGCTTCTCACTAGAACTCCAGGAAATATCTCTTGGACCCAATCACCAGTCAGCATATGTTTTAGCCATCGTAATTAATAATTACGTGTACATTCAATGACATAAGAGTAAATCTATTTACATATAATTAAATAGAATAATATCTAGTAGTTAATAAATATATATGTAAGTGAAACCAATAGAAAACAAAAAAAACAATTACTAATTCAAATAGCAGAAAGAAATAATTTACTTGAACTTGTTTATTGATAGTTAATGCAGTGCCTAATGCTCCACCAGTAGCCAAAACATATGATATCCCAAGACGTCTGTTGGAACAGAAAAAAAAGTGAACATGAAGGAGATATGTACATAGATTGTCTCAGTGCGAAAACTAATACTTGTATTAAGATGAGTGAATTAAAATGAGTAATCTATTGCCTACCAATATTACGAAATGTTGGAGAAGATTTATTACGGAAGGAGGATGATTTTGGTCGACTTCCGTTTTTTAAGCTTGATGACTTCTTACTCGTGATATTGCTTGTCTCTTGTACTTTTTGTTTGATTTGTTGAAGGGAGTTATTATGATTGGTGTTCTAAAGTGAACACTTTTTCCAGATTTTTCCTTTGGTCGTTTATGATAAAATCTAAGCATCCAGGTCAGATAGGTAATTCGATTCCATTAAAACTAAAATATCCATATTGTTGTCGAGTGACAAGTGGCATACAACCTAGTACTGATGAACTCTTAACATTTAGGAATTGGTATATATCTGTCTTCATGGAGCTTCATTCTCTGAGCTGGATGCTTTAACAGTAGAGTTTTCATTAGCATGAATTTCAGGTGGAAGTGACCTATTCGAATTTGTCTACATATAACTTTGATCTAATTCTCGATTTTATATTCGTACATATTTTCCCACTTGAGTTCATAATTGTCTACGTGCATTAGTACAGAATGGCGTATAACAGTTAATTGATGCCATTTAGAAGATTAAGAAGACTGCCACTTCATCCGATGTATTCTTCTTTGCAGTTAGAAGTTTGTCATATGGATGACCTTTGGCTTTTCTCCATTTTTCATTCTATCCTTTGATTTTCATAAAATCGATTGAAGTGAGTCTGTTAGTTTATGTACTACATCTATTTTAAACGGCCTCAATAACCTTATTAAAAATTCTGATATGTCCTCTACATATGGTAAAAGAGGGAGATGATCAAAATAAATATGCACACAACGACAGGCTAAAGGTTAAAGACAGCCAATCAAGATCAACATTGTTAGTTATATGTGGAGAAATTTGAATAGCTAATTTGTACTAGAAGTTTGTGCTGATGATGTTATTCAATAAAACAATGAAATGTGCACGGTTAAACCATCCAGCTCAAAGAACGAAACTCCTTCAAAAGGTTCTGAGAATGTATGGTGAATTAATTGTATAATTTATAGATGTTGTCGGTCATGATTTCTTTAGTCAATTTTAACAGTACAACGATAATTTGCAATAATCTTTAACTAAACAATCAGAATAAAGAAACAAAAACCCAAATTTATATACATATTCAATCCCTAGCTGAACTGTAGGCGTGTACAGTATCAAACATTTTCTGGCATTTTTCCTTCTATTTATTAAACGAGCGCTACATATAAGAGCATAATTTTCCCTGAGGATTTCATTTTAAGCTCTGAATTCCACTTTGATTGATTTTTTTATTGGGAAAGTTGAGTTACGCTACAGTGACGTAATCATAGAACATACATGTACATAGTTTCAAAGGATTGGAATGAAATCCTCAGTAAGAATAAAAGAGTATGCATTTATATGCAGAATTCATTCACTAAATGAAAGGAAGATAATCGAAAATGCTAGACGTTGCAATCTTATTGAAAATTGAAAAAAGGGATAATCTTATATCAAATTCAAAAGTAAACAATGATACATTTTATGCATGATTTTTACTCTAATCAATAAAAGCGATATGTTTACCATCGTACACACAAGTCTTTCATTAATAGACAGTATTTCATTGTAAATAACTTGCAAAATAACTTTTTTTTTGTTTATCTATAAAATATTTTATTGAACTCAATAATTTTGTTGGATTGGTAACAAATAAGTTCAAATGTAAGTTTTGAATATACGACAATACAGTTTAATTTGTCTTCAAGTATAACGGTAACATCTTTTTAGTCATTTCATTCAGTATAACATTCTTATATACATCAATAAATCAAGCTAAGAATAATACATACAATACAATGTCACGGTGATACTAAAAAAGCATAATATACTTAAACGAATTTATGACACAAAACAATCAGTATAAAAGTTAGTATTTTTATGCAAAGTTAACTACATGGAAAAGAGAGGGTGAATAGGATCGTATACTGTATACAAAGGCTTTGCATAGTACTTTATCGATTTTTCTACAGTTTCTATGGGTTTTATGCACTTATAATTGCTCTGATCCTTTAAATACATGTAAATAGTAATCTAATCAGCTGGAAAGTTTCTGAGCGTGTGTATTTAGATGGGCACAAAAGCATCCAAAACATCCTGGCATTGTTTCTCAGTGCTGCCAAAAGACTCGGTGTTTTATCATTGTCTTCATCAAACAGGACTATGTCATCTGCGTGAAGCAATTAACCATTATACAATGGAAATGTAAACAATAACTTTAGGTAAGACCGTTCCAAAAGTTTAATTTTTCTCAGTATTTATTTCAATATAGCAGATCATACACAATCTATCTATCGATATAAATGTATCTGTTGCTAATAAGTCAATAATTTAGTGAGGTACACTTGACATTATCCTGTTTAATGTTGATTGAGCTCTGATCAAACAAAATGTAGGGGTATTTACAACAAGATGACAACGCGTCTTTTGTTTTTTTTTAATTCACATAAATCATTTACTTTTTGGATGATTTACAACAAATCGTTTGTTCATATTGTTCGTAATCTTGTTCATCGTTAGGATAATTTTAATTATCGAAAAAAAAAACTAATGACGAATAACTACCTTCATTCTAATTAGCTACTTTAAGGGCCTGACAGTGACAGTACGCTTTAATAGTTTTACTTAAAATCAATACAGTTGGTCATAATAATTATACAATTACATATCATATGCGTTAAAATGTCAGTGTAATTTGTTTGTTATCTAAAACCTTAAGAAAAGAAGTGGAAGAGTGTGATATAATTCTGATAAATATTTTCCAAAAATAGATTTATTCATCAGTATACACCACTAGAATAAATGTCCGTTCAAAATTATCGGTCAGTTAATAAATAGAAGTAGAACCTGCCACATTTATTCAAGCCGCCACACAGTATATATCAGCACAACAGAATAAAAAGAGACAAAGTAGAAGTAGCGATGGTACCAGTGGTAGTAGAAAACATTACCGCTTTAAGACAAAGCGTGAATGTATTTATGCTACTGTGATAGATTCCGAAACATGTCAACCAACGTCTTTGACTACTTGGTTAGGGTAAACGCGCGGACCTCAAAAAATAGTTTGCCGCCACCAACACGTTTCATCTCAACAGACGATGGCTTTACAGACTAGTGGCTAGTATTGGTTTAGCCCTATCCCTAGCTCACTTCTAATCTACTCTTATACCAGCAAACATAATGCATCAAAGAGGGGGGTGATTGTGCGTGATACACATATTAACTATTTCAGTAGATGAAGATTCACAAGCTCAAGTTGTTAAATAGCATATACCTTACCTTTGTATTGCTCACACCATGGTCCTAAAATACAGGGGCAATGCTTCGAAAGCATCTATAACCGAATACTATGAATACTCAATATTTTTACAAGCCGTCTCACAAACATGAAAAACACTAAATTAAACTTTTGCGCAGTATAATCAGGAGTATTACAGATCACACTGGTTAACTATATTACTTACATTGAAAATGTTTGAACTCAAAACCGTGCTAATAGATGCAGACTAACTGTTTGTGATTTACACGATAATCGTGAACAATGGTTCCAAATCCTAGGTAAAATGGCTAAAAATCAGTAATAATGATACAAATGAGTTCATTTTCTTTATCCTCATCACTACCTTCAGTTTTGATTGTAATGTGTTCGGGTACAGAGACGATAATTCAACTGGTGTCACCATTATGATACACCGACATCGGGGGATTGAATGAGTATTAAGAACATCATCCCAGTAGCCATTCTGTTGTAACTTCCGTTTACTTTCTTTAGAAAAGTGAGAGTAACTTCTTTAAATACAAATATTCTTCCCAGTTATATTTTTCTTAACTGAACTACTACTCACATTATGACAATTAATATTATTATTTCACTCGTTTACAATATGTCAATTTTGTCCTTCTTTTATTATACCTACCCTCCTTTCTCTATCTCTTCACAATCACATTTTTTATTGTGTGGCGCATATATATTCTGGAGCCCTCTTGTACAAATATTTGTGTTCAAATAAATAAACAAATAAGTTGTAGTACATTTCGTCTCTTGGTAACATACTCTTTATGTTAGTTTTATTCGAATTATCAGTGATAGTACGAGTACTTTGATTTTACTATTAACATTGTATATATCTTTTCTTGGGTTGATATAATTCAGTAATTTGACCTGATTTATATTTGTCCTACGTTTTGTATTGATTATTACTGACTAAGAAAGTTAATTACATGTATGGATACACATTTGATGTAACCGTTTATCATTTTATTTAATCACACTTGTACCTATATTAGTAAATACACTTACTGTTCGCTAAGGTGAGTAGCGATTGACATTGAGGACAATGAGGAGTGGGGCAATTATTGGAAACATGAGTCACAAAGAGTTTCTAATCATAATTGTGGTAAATTAAAAATAGTAGAAGTAAAATAAACCAGTGTTGTACAAAAGTGATTTAGAATCACGAAACTATTGAGTGTTCATTGATTCACAGGCATAAGATGCCGTTGTAAACAATGGAAGGAATGCTTATTGTTGTATCCGAAGAAAATTAAATAAATGGTAACTTCCAAAAATAGTTTATAGACTTATATATACATTTAATTGTAAGCATTCATTTGATATATTATCTACTATATAAGAACTTTCGTCTAAATTTGAACGAATAGTTTCACAATATTTGGGCGCCGAGTTAATTTGAGACATTAAAAAGAATAATATATTTGTAAAATCTCAGCGAATGAATTTTAAGTAAATCCAACGTTTCGCCTGGCAATCTGGTCCAAGCTTTTTCAAGGAAAATATAATCAAACAACAAAATTATCGAATATAAATAGGTACATGGTTCTTCGGTTTACTGTATACTGAATAA